ATGTAAGGCTATAGGCTTTGAAGGTTCCAATTGGGGGAGTTAACAGTCCAAGGACAATGGCTTACGAGGCACAATCCGTCCCACCCAGCGGGCTATGCAGACATCATTGACATGCCGGCCTTCTGTCACCCACTGCCCGAGGGGTGGGAGCGGTGATGTTGGAGCGATGAAGGTTGCCCGGTCCGTCGAGTTAGATAGCGTGTTGATGTGCCAAGTAACGTCGAAGTAGATTATGGAATCTCCTCCGATCTGCCTATAGAACGGCTTGGCGTTGTGGTCCTCTGTGTAAGCATACTGGCCGTTGCCCTGGCTCTGCGTCGGCCCCATTTCCGAAACCATCAGATCGCCTCTTAAGAGGTGGTGACTTATTCCCTGTGTGAGGTTTCTGCTAGAAACTGCTAGTAAGCAAGAGAGAAGCTTTGCACAGCATCAAGACCCTGACCGGAAGCTTGAGCCCTGTACCTCTAAGCCCAAAGCTTCACGATTAGCTGATTATGATGCATCGTGACCTTCGCACGTTGGCTCGTGGCACACGGAGATGTTGGGTGGCTCGTCCTGGCAGGTGCATGGCCCTGCGAAGGGGTCCTTGAGAACCCAATCGCCTTCGGTCGGTGGGGTTGCAGCATGCACTAATGGCGCATAGCCCATGTCAACTTCCTCCAGCGTATCATTCAACTGATCGGAGAGTCTCCATTGACTAGATACGCCCCAGAAGTAAATGAAACCGACGCCCACACTCTTCGTGTAGAAGGGCCTTTCCCCGTATCGTCCGGCAAGGTGATAGTCACCGTTGTAAAACCTCCCGGAAGCAACAGCACCAGACACGACGTACTCGCCATGGCAATCTTCCCCGATCGCTAGGAATGCAGCGAAGAGCAGGCACCATATCGTCTCAATACATTGACGGACCACAATGCCCGCCCGGCGGGCCTTCTGCAAGCGCCTTCCTTCCATCGGCCATAAACGTTCCGACACAGACTGCACGAGGGCTTGCAGATGGTAGCCGAGGTTGCGCAGCAGGAAGCCACAAAGGAAGAAGAGGAGCCAAGCACAAGGCCAAGCAATCTCGTCCCAGCTGCGAATTTGCCGCGTGGCATGTAGGTGCATGTGCAGGGACGCTGGGCGCAGGACTCGGATCAGAAAGAGACTTGCGAGCAATGCCCAATTCTGATATCCGCTGCGGCAGTCGAGGAGGTCGGTGACGTCGAACATGAACCAAATCACCTCCAAAGCTGACCAGCCCCAAGCCACGATCGCGGAGTCCTTCCGATGCGGTCTGTGAAAGAACAAGGTCTCAAAACGCCTCCTTCATACATACATATGATACTAATTGTTCAACGGTTGCTCAGGTCAATTGAACCTCTAAACTCTACACCCTCTAAATGAACCTAAATCCCTGAGCCCCAAACCCCGGTCCTGCACAGCTGTGCCTTCCAGTGGTCCTGGCCTTGAGACTCTCGGAGCGCAGCACCAGGCCTTCAGGCGGCTGTAGGGCTCTTGCTCTCTCTTTGCTAAGTAGGCTTCTCTCTTTCCAGGCTTGCGTCTAAGCTCCAAGTCCGAGGCTATCAGAGATAAAGGCCATCACAACCTACACCGGGTCTCCAGTTCCGCAACACTTTCTGCGGAGGCTCGGGATGTCAGACACCCAACAGCTGCTCTAGCTGTTGCAAAGCCTCTACGAAGAGCTGCTCCGCCATCTGCAAGCTACTCTTGCGCGACGTTTGGGACGACAAGGCGACGGCACGACTGAGCAGTCTAAGATCTGAGGGGGCGTGGCCTCCAAGCTCTTCCGAACTTCTCTTCAGCTCTCTGGAAATCTTGTTGCTCCAAGAGGACGCCAGTCCAATCCCTTAAGAAAGCCACTGTGCGCGGATGCTGCGATCCCAAGAGTTCCTTGCAGGTAGTCCAACCCTGCTCTTGGCGCTCCTTGGCTTCGTCTGTGCAAGTGCCAGACGCCCATCTTCTATTCAAGATCCACCGCTGTCGATCTGGCCAAGCGCTCAGCTTGAACTCACCCTGGGACATCAGAACCTGCGTCAGCTTGACACCAAGATCTGCCGGTGAGTCTCGCCTTGGTTCCATGCGTGCAAGCAGCTGTGGACTCAACTTCGCCTGAGTGGGTGCAGGAACCCGAAGCCCTGCAACTCCCCAAAAAAGGCAAAGAGCAGTGAGTACGGGGGCCTTGGAGGGCCCGCAGCATTCCTAAAGCCCTCGTTTTGTCACAAGAGTGCAGAAACAACTTAGCTGGCTTTCTTGTTGGACATGTTCTTGAACATCGCCGCTTAAAGCCGAAAAACCAAGACACGTCCAGGATCTGCTTCAAGCTGTCTCCGTTGTGCCGTGGGGGCCTTGCAATGAAGGTTACCGTTTCGGATTTAAGATTTGAGTCGGTGTGCCATCTCGCACTCCGTAGTTGTGATCCAGGAGTTTGCAGATCCTCGTCTTTCCACTTGTCGGATGGCCGTCGGATCGCATAGACGCCTCGACTCTGATTTTGGTCTGCTAGTTTCACCGGACAACCTTTAAAAAGCATCTGTTGTTGGAAGATGCCCATCTTGGCTCCAGCAAGTGTTGAGACCCTTTTTGTCCTTTCTTGGTTCAGACGTGACCATCAAAGCAAAAACCTCGCCTTGGAAGGGTTGGTGATGTTTCAGAAGCCCATTCTCTGCTCATGCAAGGGGTCATGCCGATGCAATGGTCCAGTTGGTGCGGCCCGGTCTTTGCGAACTGCAACCACACACGCTTACTCAATTCTGAGCAATGTCTTCTATAGTGCGAATCCATTTCTCGATGCAGCAATACTTGGATCTCGTGCATGCTGCTTCGTAGTTCCAGTCAACCACGAACTTAACAAGGAACACAACTTAGTATACATAGCTTGCTTCTTCAGACGCAAATCTGTCAGGGATACTATCTTAGTCTCCAAGTTTCTCTAAGTTTCTGAAAGCTTCGGCATACTTGGGTTCGGCATATGCTAGGAGGTCCCAGAGAAGGTCTTCGTTGCTTATCCTTTGCAAAGTCGCCAACAGGGCACACAAAAGCACAAGCAGAATATCCTTGAAGGCCGAGTGACGGGGGTCTGCATTCCATGGCAAAAAAAGCGTCCCGCTATTGGGACACAGCTGAGCCGGGGTCCTTACTACTACTACTACTACTACTACTACTACGACTACTACTACTACTACTACTAGCCACCCCCCCCTACCAACTACACTTGCTCCATCCGG